TTACGTGGATTGGTATGGTGTGTTGTATGACTGGTTACTTACGTGGATTGGTATAGTGTGTTGTATGACTGGTTACTTACGTGGATTGGTATAGTGTGTTGTATGACTGGTTACTTACGTGGATTGGTATGGTGTCTTGTATGACAAGTTACTTACATTGATTGGTATGGTCTGTTGTATGACTGGTTACTTACGTGGATAGGTATGGTCTGTTGTATGACTGGTTACTTACGTGGATAGGTATGGTCTGTTGTATGACAGCTGCCGGTATAGCTGCTGGGACAAAGGCTGCATACAGCTGTCGGGGGCTTTGCTCTCCCAAGTCCACCATCAGGTCACTCAGACTGTGGTAACAATGGCTGATGGCATGCAGGATCTCTCCGACCAGGTTACACACCTCCTGGGCCTCTCTTGTCGCCTACACATAATCATTATAAAGAGTTATGTCCCTTACACAAAAGTATTATACCGAGTTGTGTCCCAGCAAATAAATGTCTTATGATGTTTTTATGCGAACTAGCAATTACTGTGCTGCTATGCAGGGACACCAATTTGTTGAGGGGACTGAACCATAGCTTCCCATACCCTGGCAATTTCTAACATAATCATATTTGTTACAACTAAATAATTGAAAATATAAGGTTTTACAGTGAAAATTAAATTGATGTTTTTCTACTTTAACAAATAACAATTTTCTCATTTCACACTAAACCGACCAAACATATATGGAGCAGGGCTCAGCGTAAAAAAATAGAGGCATTGTCAATTGTGACATCAACGATACTCCGACTTTTATTCTATTGTGATATCACAATACAACATTCCTTATTTTCTCAGCAGCAGTAGAAACAATATGCTTATCTTCCTGTGGTGTAAGATGTGTACATCAATATTGGTCGAGTACTTTAAAAGAGTACATTGGAAAAACTCATTGTCTACATAATGATAGATGACCTGATTTCAGTGTAGCTTTAACTACATTTCAGGATGGAAAGTAACCTGTGGAGTACAAACTGAAGATATTGCACAAAAGTGTATATGTGTACAGTAGCCTAGGTGTATATCGGAGTGTATACAGTAGATGTA